AGATAGTATGTATGTATRTATAAATATGTATAATAAGTTTGAATACATATATGTGCACAAAATATTCGCAAGGCATATACTACAGTTTTGGCATCCAGCCCAAAAGCCAAAGCTTTTCCACAAATACATTAAGATTCGCGAGGATTTTAAAAAAACAGTGTTTCTTTAAGTTGTAAAATTTCCTAGACCATTTGCCGTGCAAGCCTTAACACAAGCCGAGTTTGAGATCAAAAGCCACAAAGGCGTAGGAATGTATACACTTAGAGTATAATGCCTTTTATTAATACCTATACAATTGTTCATGATTGTCTTTAAATTTCAACTTTATCGCAAACTTTTGTCATCATTGGTCTCCAACTTTCCTTCTTAGGATATTCTACGAGCAACTTCTGGCTTCGACGTCTTACTCGTAACGGCACTAACCATTATTACTTCATGATATTTTCTAACTCCAAGGATTTGTTAACAAATGTGTATGTATGTGTCAACACATATGTGTATTTGTTGYTGGCATGTTATTGTCAATGTAATATTAGCCAAATGCAAACTGGTGTAACTTTTCTCATAAACATAAAAGTCTTTTGCTTTGTTTGTGGCAAATTGGTAATTGCAAATCTTCATAGCGGAAATTTTCTACTGCCGGCTCGACTTAATCTACAAGTAAGAGGATACAAAGTGCCTTATTATGCCAGCAGTCTGTTTCGCCTTTATCCAACTAGCTATTAACATATTAAGGATGTTAAAATTATGTATAAAGAAACGCTTGCCRAGAATTGTTGTATTTACAAATACAACTACCAAAAATACAAAGTTTCATATTTGGATAGAAACAAGAGTATTACAGGTAAAATATGTAAATGAAACTATCATAAAGGCTTAAACAGTTTTACGTGTTATCTTACGGGAATAAACTGTTAGTTATTAAGAGTAGTGTATTTTTATATCCTAAATAGGGGATATTAATTTTTCCACGAAGTTTGTAACGCCAGAAAGAATATTCGAAGACCCTATAATATATATATATAAATATGTACATACATAAGTGATCGGATTGATGAGCTGAGTCGATTTAGCAACGTTAATAAGTCTGTATACACGCAAACTAGTCGCCCAGTTTTTTGCACACTTTTCTCCCTAAACAGCTTCTTATTTGTCGAAACCGCCGATGCCCCACTATCATAGCATAAAGCTACAATACAAACTCGCGATCAGAATCAAGTGTTTTAGCTCCGGTGCACCCGAAGATAACATGTTTACTTGTATTGTATTAAGATTAACTCGTAAGATCCGAAATTTTAACCGAGGTTCAGAATTMAAAATAACGTCCTCGGATAGAAGCATGAATCATTTAAAAAAATATAATTAAAATTTCCGACACATTTTGACAAATATTGAATATTTTAGCTTTCAAATTGTGAAACATGTTATAAACAAATAGGTCGTTCGGCACCTGAGGTGATCTCCACCCTCTGTCATTGACAACTAGCTGCTGTCCAAATAACAAGAACAACAAGCATTTGTAAATACGTGTTCTTCTCTACCTATGGAAGTGCAAACAAATATGCCACATGCCACTAACTTTATGAAACTCTCTAACGCCTCCTTTACCCTCCACTTCCGCCAGCGAGGAAGCAGCTTGCGCCACAGTCGTTTCCACTGCAGGCCGAAATCATTCTTATGCGCACAATGCTGGTAGGYGACACATAATGAGTACACACCGGTATATTTTAGCTTAGGTTGGTAAACATGCCACCGTCACGACGTATTGCGCTTGTGCTCGTACATTAACTCCAGGTGTGCAATTGTCGCGGCACGCACCACGATCGCTTCAGTGAGTGCGGTCTTTTGTGAAAGTATGGATTGGTACAATATTTTGGAGAAGCGAGAAATACATTTTTGAACACACATACACAAATGTATATATTTTAAAACTAGGAGTAATACAATATAAGCAAGAGGAAAAGGAAATATATCTAACGGTTTCACGATTATTAGAATTTAAAGAGAGCAAAAAAATAATAAAAATATCACTGAATGTAAGCGAGATCAAGTAGAGTGTAAATAAACTTGCTTTGCTTTTAAAGTTCATTCGCTCTTCCAAAAACTGACGCGGCATCTATTTATAGAGTACAGTAACAATATTTGGTAAAAATTTAAGAAAAGAATAATTCTTAAACAATTACATTAAATCAAACTTTAAATATTGAAGACTCATTATAATCGTATAATATGGCGTGCAGGGTATATATGTATGTATGTTTCGAACACATATCTTTTTAATYGAAAATCCCCTTTGACCCACGGTATAAGTAACAAGTTAAGGAACCAACCTTAAATCACCGCAAATATGTGATAATATCTAGTATTTAATTCCATTGGAACTCGGCACTTTTAATTATTTTCAAAATTTCTCTCAGCAATAAACTGAAATCGAGAAACAAATTTACGCTGCCACAAGAAATTAAATGTTAAGAATATATCACCGAAAAAACAATATAATTTTTAAAATGTTAAAAAATTTAGATCTAAATTAGATTTAATATATGTTATTTTGATAAAAWAAAAATATGCTTTAAATATTAAATTTTTCACTGACTCAATTTATTCTGATACTATAACCCATTAACTATAACCCATAATTTTACCTTTTTCTATTTACAGGAGGATTTATAATGGACGGCAGAGATAAATAACACTTTGTTTGTGGTAAATTTCCAACAAAAGCCAATACAAATACATATRAACATACGWCTTACGTAGTCCTAAGAGTWTCAAAAACATATATAGTAGATATACATATACTATGTATATTTAACTATCGAATTCATCGATCGAGCATCATACATATGTACATAGTATGGTTGCATTAATATATAATATATGTTCTGTTGTGGAATCTGAAATCATCTCCCTGAAAATGAATATGAATTAGGTGGTGATTTTGTGCGTCCGCGTGCTGAAAATTTTACGCGTAAAAGTCTCATGTGGCACAATCGAGTACAGTCCCTATTTGAATTGTGTTATTTGGTCAGTTTCGTGCGTTGTTCATATAAGAAAATGTCGATAAGTTTTGGGGGTGGTTTAATGAAGGGACATTTTCGAATTGAAACATATCCGCAACAGGAAAATGCATTCCTTTGCTTGCAACATAGTTACCCATAGCGAAATGGTCATTGAAAGGTGGGTATGTATACAGAATTAAGTTTGTGTTAGCTGCATTCCGTTATAATCTAGGCAGGTAAAATTCTGTTCAATTAAGCGGGTATTCTAGTGTAGAGACTCGAATTTCGAGCTTTTTTCAACAATTAAWAAAAAAGATGCACTATATATTTTTATTATCCGTTGTTTATCATTTGTTTATTAAACTTAGAAGAGTACACAAAATAAATTTCAAAAAAGAAAATTTTTTTTTTTCATCGAGATATGAGTCCTTGAAGAAAAGGGGGAAAAAGAGGCCGTGATTTCTACCCTTGTAATAAAACAATRACAGATTGTTAATGAGTACGAATGTCGCTGTCATGAAGCAGCAAAACTAAAACAAATGTTTTCATAAAATGGCGGCTACTCAAAAAAGGTAGATTTTTTCACTAATTTTTCATTTTTGTCGATTTTTTTTAAATATTATAAATTTAAAATTTTTACTTTTTGTTGCTTCTAGTGATAGAGATATATTTAAAGAATATTCATGCCAAATTTCAAATAAATCGACTGATTAGAACTTGAGATATTGAGGCTACCGAATCAAAAAAAAAAAAAAGTTTTGAGGAAAACGCGTTTAAATTTTTACGTTAAATGTAGGGCAGCGTCATAGATATATAGGTATTGTAGTTCGCTTAATCGGTCTAGTTGGCACGTCACTAAAATGGCTATAACTTTGAAAATAATTTGAGTTTTGAAAAATCCTTTTAAGGAGATATCAAAACTATCGTATTAAGAAAAAAAAATTTTTGATTTTTTTCAAATTTCTAGACTAGAAAATAATTTAATTTTTCATAACACACGAATTTAACGAAAAATTTGTTTAAAAGTTTCGAACAATTGAACATATAACAAATCAGTCCTTTGTTTTGGCATAACTAACCCATAACCAAGAAAACAGTCCCAAACGGTATGTATGAATGTATCTATTTCTCAATGCCAATGTAATCTCGAATAAAGTAAGGTAGTACATAATTTTGAAACGTCTCAATTAACTGTTATTGTAATTCGTTAAAAAATGTTCTTCCTAAATATTGTTTTTTACAGAGAGACTTTTGAATGCTCGAGAGGATAGAGGATTCCAAATTCAAACGACCCAAACCTAAAATATTAAATTTAAAAATTGTTTAATACCACTCGAACGTGAATATCTGAGCAAAATTTTCAATACAAATAATATGAAGTCAAAAATAAACTCAAGTATTATAATGGAAATTACTGAACTGATAAAATTATATAACAATAAAAATAGCTTGCAATAATGTTATAGAAATTAAATGCAAAAGACATTCGCATGTGTGTGGTGGTGGAAAGAAAAATCAAAACTAAATTCTGTATTAGAAAGAGCAAAAAACGTAAAAGACGAAAAGAACCAAAACAAATAATAAAACAACATCGTTCTTGAGAACATCGTTAAAGTTGAGAACAAAATTAAAGATTTTGGCGATATTGAACCTTGAGGCCCTAGCGGCCTTTGAAGAAAAGGAAATTTAAAGCTAACGGTATCAAAGCAACATAGCTAAATATCATACACATTCAAGGAAAAGAATAATATACACAAGTATTAAAACAAACACCGATGATGGAATAAACGGAAACGGATTAGAAACCAACTAGACAGTTAGCACGAAACAATATTAAAATACTAGTCGAAGCTCTTTGATACTTTAGAGGCATCAAATTAAACGAACAACTTTACTATTAACAAATAGGTTCAGAACGATTAGATTGCGGATATTTGCGAACCTTTATATTATTTGTTGGGAACACAAACAATTAAGTAATACTCTGGTGCACCACAGTGTGCTAGGGTATAAAAACGACATTTCAATCAGTATTCGCCCCGAGAGCGCGGCGAATTTAGAATACTTGAACAAGACACCAAAACCAATACAACAATTTAGACGAATAGCTGTAAAACGGAAGGCAAAACTATTGAAAGAACAATTCAACCTGGACTCTGTAGTTGCATATGTGTGAGTGCTTATGTGAGCCTGAGCCAATCCAACTAAAACATTTCCAAGCAACAAGAGCAATAGCAATATAACAGCAACAAAAGCATCGAACAACGAATATCGACGATACCAAGAAGACGAACTGTGGCAAAGTATTGAAACCCCAGCCCAATCCAAACCAAAACAAAACAAAACCGAACAGAACACAGAACACAGAACACAGAACCCAGAGCGAACGCAGCGACTTTAGTGTAAATCCATTGTAGGAGTGTGAGCGGTGTGCATTAGTGTTGGTAATTGTCTGTTTACAGTTCACATAAGTAATAAAGTAAATTCTACAACAAAAGCAAACAAGAAAAACTTCTGTGTGAAAGGAAGGCAAAAACTTAGCGAGCCAATAGACGATCCACGTACGCACACATACACACTACAATTGCCAGCGTCGCCTTTTACTTTGTTTGTGTTTGTGAGTGGCGAATGTTTTGCCGTTGTACGCATCGCAAAGGTAGCAGCAGCGACGAAAGTAGCCGAGCCAAAGCAGAAGCACTGAACCATTACGCAGCGACTTAACGGAGGAAACGACTGCATTCACCACTAGTAGTCGCAGTCAGARAAGCATAACAGAGTTGGAGATAGGGTTTGTGTGTTGATTAGGTAGAACCAGGTAGGACAAGAGAACGAAGAGAGCTAAATTCGCGATAACTGCGAGCTCTGTAAGAGAATAAGGCTTCACCGAGACTGTTGGCATCTTATGATGTCATCGGAAGAAGACACAGAGTGTTTCGGATTGTATAACGATGATAAGTTACTACTAAAGGCGTCCACAGCAGCATCATTATCCAAACTGGCAGAGCCCTCGTCTTCGCCGCCGTTACTGGAATTAGAAACCGRTTGTGTGGTAAAGCAAGAAACACCATTACTATTGCCACCCCCAACACCACCATTACAAACGGCGAAGAGCGCAAAAAACAACACCAACCAAAATCACAAAAACAATAGTAATAACGCCAACGTCTGTAGTAATAATAAAAGCAAAATCAACAGCATTAACAGTACAACTGGCAATAGTACGGCTCTCGAAGAGACACACGAAAGCGACCTTATCGAAGACGACAACGTCAGCGGTGGCGACAACAACGACGACGACGATAACGACGTCGTAGTCATACTCGAAGGTGTCGCAAGCAGCACCGAGGGCACCCATAATARCCAGAGACAGAATCGCCTTCGTAACAGCAGCCGTAGTCGTAGTCGAAGTCGCAGTGGCAGCAGTGTCAGCGGCAGTGGCAGCGGTAGTGGCAAACAACAAGTCGTGCAAGTCGTGCATGTCACTGAGCGAGCAAACGAAAGTAGTCCGTGTGGTGCCGTCAACAAGGCAATAACGTGCACCGCTAACTTAGCAATACGCTCAAAGTCAGTATCTGTAGGAATATCATCGTCGAAGTCAAATAAAAAGAACACGTCCTTATCGTCATCGAGTGAATATCTTGTTAATAAGAACAGTAACAGTAGTAATAACTGTTCCAGTGCTAATAAAATAAACGTAAACGGTAATAGTGTTTTAGGTCTAGAATCGAAATTATTTTCGGGATTCCAAGATAATACGAGTCCAACGCCGTTGTCATTACCCTTGTCGGTTTCGCCAACGCCGTCATCCCCGCTCTTGCCGCCAACAGCGACTGCCTTCATGAGTAGTGCTGCTGCGGCTGTTGCGGGCGCTGCTGGAGGAGCTCTCTATGGAGCCTTATTGAATCAGACAACTTCGTCGTCCAATAACACGCTTAATAACAGCAACGCTACTGCTGGTAATAATAATCCACATAACAGTGCAAACGTTTCCGTATCCGCTTCCTCATCGCCAACAGCATCGTTGCTGTCCGGTAATTTTACAGCGGCTCTTGGCAGCCTCTTCACAGCAAACGGTTTCGGTTCAGCAAAAATGTTGAATGAGTTATTCGGTCGACAAATGAAGCAAGCACAGGATGCTACAAGCGGCTTACCCGCTACTTTAGACAACGCCATGTTAGCTGCGGCAATGGAATCGGCCACCAGCGCTGAACTGTTGAGTGCAGCAGGCTTGGTGAATAGCTTAGGCCTCAACGCCACCAGCAAATTGCTCAATAATAATACAATAAACAGTTTGAATAGTTTAAGCAATGCCAATGCATCTGCAACGTCCGCTCTTAATAATGGCAATGCCATTTCTGATCACCAATCGTTAAATGCCACATCTGCCTCTCAATCGCCCAAGAACCGACGAGTTAGCAATTGTAGTGATCGATCTTTGGATGAAGTGAACTCGCGAACTGGTGATTTGTGCTCTCCACCTCGTGCACCTTCTGCCAGCTCAACATCTGTGGCGCTCGGCGCTGTGAATTCTTCCGAAAGAACCTCACCAAATGTTCARCAACAGCAACAGCAGCAACAACAACAAAATGAGTTAGCTCACCATATGCTAAGAAATATTTTGCAAGGTAAGAAAGAGCTCATGCAGCTCGACCAAGAGCTACGATCAGTAATGAATCAACAACAGCAACTCGCAGATAATCAGAACACGCTAAAGCATAACAATAATAATTTGTCCGCTAACAATAACAATAATTTGGAAGATAAAGAATCGAATAATGTAATCAATCTATTGGAGGACACCATGTCTGACATTAAAATTAAGTGCGAGCCCAATCAGTTGCCAAATAATTCTGACTCTGCGACTGCAGAAAGTAGGAAGTCATCTGATTCTGACGTTGCCGATTCTCAGCAGGATGAAGACCAACAGTCTGAGGGCGATAACATGGATCAACAGCACATGGATGAGCAGGATGAACAACCGCATTCAAACCTAACGGTGGGAGTAACTAAAAAGGAGGCTGATGACATCCTAGAAGATGTAGAATTAATGGGTCTGAATTCGCGGTCCGATTTAGAGTCATTGGCCTCACCTAGCCAATCTGAGATGATGCTCTTAGAGAACAGTAAAGATGAGTTAGAAGAGGAGCTTGAAAAGGATGTCGCTGCTACCATGTCTAAAAAACCAGGAATGGATATGAAAAGAGCCCGAGTCGAAAACATTATTACCACAATGCGTTCTAGTCCATCGTCCCATCAGTCGCACTTGCAAGTTAATGGATGTAAGAAACGAAAACTATATCAACCGCAACAACATGCAATGGAACGATATGTGGCTGCTGCTGCGGGTTTGAATTTTGGTTTGAACTTACAAAGTATGATGTTGGATGAAGAAGCATCCAATGAAATGGAATCACCACAAATTCAGCAAAAGCGTGTGGAGAAAAATGCGCTGAAGTCACAGTTGCGTTCAATGCAGGAGCAACTGGCTGAAATGCAGCAAAAGTATGTGCAATTATGTTCAAGAATGGAGCAGGAGTCAGAATGTCAGGACATTGATGATACCGCAAGTGATAGTATGGAACAAGATGACAATGGAGGAGATCTCTCACCATCGCCATCCCTGACCGGTGAATCGGGTTTAATTGATAARGTTCAAACGGACGCAGAACGGCCGAGTTCTACTTCGCCCAATTTACCAATAAAATCTCGCAAGCACTTAACCTCACAAAATTCYATAGCGCTGGATAACGCCCCGAATGTGCTATCACAAATGATGAGCAAAATGATGTCATCGCGATCACTCGTAGGGCATCCACATATGCAGCAGTCGTTTAGCGGTCCATTGCCATTGCTGCAACATATGCCACAAATGCAAGGTGACGCCGGAGCTGCCCATTTGTCTCATCCCGCCATAAGTAATGCTGCCGCTATGTACCTGGGGCAACAGTTTCTCTTTGAGCAGGAAGCACGTATGGCAAAGGAAGCTGCTGAGCAGCAAGAAAGACAACAACAACAACAACAGCAACAACTACAGCAGCAACAACAACAACAGCAGCAGCAGGAGCAAGAGCAACAAAGGCGATTTGAACAAGAGCAACAGCAACGTCGTAAGGAGGAGAAACAACAACAACAACAACAGCAGCAACAGGCCCAGCAACAAGCTGCACAACAACTTCAGCGCCAACATCAGTTACAACAGTTGCAACAACAGCATCTGGAGCAAACCACACCTACTGTCTCTATAAATCAAACAACCCGCTCACAGCTACATCACAATCGGCTCAATCAACGTCATGGCAACCACTCCTCTCTCAAATCAGAACTGTCAGAAAAATTCAATATGTTGAGATCCAGTTCTAATTCGATTATGCGTATGTCCGGATCAGATCTGGAAGGACTTGCTGATGTATTAAAATCTGAAATTACTACTTCGCTATCAGCATTAGTTGACACGATCGTTACACGATTTGTTCATCAACGTCGTCTATTTAGCAAACAATCGGATTCAGTAGCTGCAGCTGCTGAACAACTTAACAAGGACTTGCTTATGGCATCCCAAATACTCGACCGCAAGTCGCCACGTACTAAAGTTGCAGATCGTTCTCATTCTAATGCCATCATCAACAATAATTCAAATATTCCTAATTCAGCGTCAGGACAGCCTGTTGTCAGTGGAAATTCTGTGAATACTTCATCAGTCCAATCAGGTAATAATGGTTCTCTTCTCCTAGTTAATAATACCTCCTCAACTAACCAATTAAGTAATGGTCCAAACGGTAATCTGTCCACAAATCACCTTGGTCACTTGCAGTCCACTGTAAGTAACGGCCCTCAAATGCATGTTGGACCTGGGCCCGCAGTATCAGTAGGCGGTGTGACGATTCCTCAACACCCGCTTACAAATAGCCAAGCAAACGTCTTGACGTCCTCAAGTGGGCAGACAAATGCGCAACATGCGCAGCAAATAGCGCAAATGTCAGCGTTGAATGCGCAAAATTGTCAAAGCCTCATCGCCGCCCCACGTCTAAATGGCAATCAGTTGTCGTTTCCGTCGCCGGCTGCGGCAGCAGCTGCGGCAATGGGCCTGCAAATGCACCATGCAGCAGCCGCAGCTGCAATGACCGCAGCTGCTGCTAATCAGCAAAATCATAATCAGCAGATCACAAACGAAAGTTCTGGTCAAAGCCCAATGAATCAGAGTATCAACATGAACTCGAATCCAAATACAAATAATACTAACAATAGTTTAAGTACGATTAATATTCCACCTCCTCATATACGTCCTTCGCCCACAGCGGCAGCAATATTTCAGGCACCAAAGACACCACAAGGAATGAATCCAGTCGCTGCTGCTGCACTCTACAATTCTATGACCACCAGCGGTCCTAACCAAATGAACCCCTTCTGTATGCCAGAGGCTCGTGATGTACAGCAGCAGCAGCAACAGCAGCAGCAGCAACAGCAACAGCAACAACAACAGCAGCAACAACAACAACAACAACAGCAACAGCAGCAACAACAGCTGGAGCAAAACGAGGCCCTCAGCTTGGTTGTAACGCCAAAGAAGAAGCGACATAAGGTGACAGACACCCGAATAACACCACGGACAGTCAGTCGCATACTTGCCCAGGATGGCGTTGTACCTCCGAATTCAGTAACTGCCAACAGCATGTTAGACGGCGGCAGCAAGTTCGTTCCCATGGTTGGTCAACCCAACCAACAACAACAGCCCAATACGAATCAAACGAATTGTAATGCGCCAATCGTTGGCAGCAATAGTGCCAACGTCACGCCAGTTAACGTSAATGCTACCGGCAGTATCGGCAATATCGGCAATAATAATACGACGCCTGCACAAAGTCCTTCACCACGTGCTCAAGCGCCCACCTATCATCCGCCGCCACCACCACCACCCATGTTGCCCGTGTCATTGCCTACTTCTGTGGCAATTCCCAATCCATCGTTGCACGAGTCGCAAGTCTTCTCACCCTACAGTCCATTCTTCAATCCTCACCCGCCGCATGCGCCACCACCACCCCCGCATGGTCCACACAGTGGTGCTCACAACACGCCAACAGCTGCCCAAATGCACCACATGAAGATGTCATCCAGCCCACCTGGCCTTGGCGGGCTAATGGACTCGCGCGAATCACCGCCACTGCCTCATCCGCCCTCCATGCTGCATCCTGCCCTATTAGCTGCTGCCCACCATGGCGGCTCTCCCGACTACAGCGCGCATCTACGTGCAGCCATGGATGCACAAGACCGCAATTCGGACTGCAACTCCGCTGATATGCAGTTTGATGGAATGCAGCCYACAATATCATTCCTGAAGCAGCAAATGATGTAAGTACTCAATTATTTTACAAACTAATACCATACATCCAGGTATAAGGGAAATATAATATAATGTTCTCTTGTGCAAAATGCCCATATACTCGTACTTGTAATACACACATACAATTGTGCTTAGTTAGTTAAATATTTACTATATATTGCTTGCCACTTTTTCTTAAGCTTTGTCACTAATTACCTCTTAATACCAAAGAAACGGTGAATCAATTCAACAAAAAGAAACCAATCAAGTGTCGGTGTCTATATATAACATATATACCAATGCAGCATTGCAACACAAATAAGTTTACTCAAAAAGAAATGTGTAATCAAAACCAAAGTCTAAAACAACCTGATTGCAGCAACCCCAATTAATCTTAAGTATTTGCGAAACTTAATGCAAGTGCATTACGTCTCACACGCTACATTGTCTTGCCGCCCAACTGAGCACTTAGACGGAGCTTTAATCAGGGCTAACACCGTTTCGATCGAAGCCACTTACCAGTGAATAAGGAAATGCAGAAAACAAAAGCATGATACGTACAATTGTATGTGTATAGTCGCAAACGGAAGCGCTTTAAGTAAAATCACTTGCAGTTCCATTTTTCTCTAGGTTATATTGACAAATGCTTTTCAGACACTCTGTAGCGTGTCAGCATTTTTATTTTGCCCAAAATTTCTTTATACGTATATTAAATCTTGTATTATTCTCATCTTCTTCTGTTCATTCCACAAAAAATTAATTGTGAATGTTTTCACATGTAAATTTAGCAAAAATAGCGACTCCTTGACTCCACTGCACTCGTCAACATTAACACCAATGCACCTGCGCAAGGCGAAGTTGATGTTCTTCTGGGTCCGCTACCCCAGTTCAGCAGTACTGAAGATGTACTTCCCAGACATCAAATTCAACAAGAACAATACAGCACAATTGGTGAAATGGTTCTCGAATTTCCGGTAAGTGAAACGTTTGTCTCTTCTAATTTTTAAATTAGTTTTTCTTTATATAATCTAATATACAATAGTATGGAATATGCCTCTTAATATGTGAGCTGGTCTACGAAAAGGGAGCTAACGAGCGAAAACTAGTTTATGACTTTTTGAATTCTATCACGTGAAAAAGCATCTCATCTTCCATCCGAATTAACTAAGATCTTTTGACACCTAAGCCCCCTTTCCATAGACCAGGTCACATATATTGATATATTCTAGAGTAATAAATTATTTGTACTGAATTAGTTACATTATATATTAAAATGTGCCTAGAATATCAGCATTTGCGCCAAGAATGGGGTTAATATTAAAATATTTAAGTACTTTTCATAATTTTTCTCTTTCAACTGCACAGATATAGAAGCAATAAAATGGTTTTCAAATAGGTGACTAAGTTTGCCGGGCATTTAAATTACTAACAAAGTGGGGAAATTACAACACTATAAATATATTTAAATTGCATGGAAACTTCTTTACTTATGAAACGTATTCTAACTTCAATACAACCGAAGTTTGATATTGAATTCTATATTTTTTTAATTCGTAACCATAAAGCTATTGGTTATTTTTTCTTCTTTTTAACAACGAAAAGGTTTAGAATCCTTCCCTTTTCCGAACTTTTAAAATGTCATATAGTAAGTGATGCAATGTCTAAAACACTGTTGAAATTTCTAAGCTGTCAATAAGAGACAATTTCACTTCGAACATTTCAACTGTTCGCGTATTTATGTATATAAAAGCATTGAGCATTTCACTTGTATATACCTATACATATGTACATATGTATGGAAATGCCTAGGAAATTTCCACAACTAACCCGCTACTAGCGCGTTTTTGGCATTACCATACTATCCCATCACGGCACTATTACCTTAAATTTGTTGGCACTTGGCGCTTTTCCTCAACGAGCAGGCCTAATTCCAAAATACTTCAGATAGAAATTATACTGATGGCATAAGCACGAGTTCATTATACAATTCCACCTTATTGTACGTACACACATTGCTATACTTGTGTATATGTACTATATGTAAGTGTGTAGGTAGGCCCGCATACTTTCGGGAAAGTCCAACTGACACCAATTCGACAAAGAAGGTCTCTTGCGATTTGCATGCTAGCATTCACTCAGCGAAGCCAAAACGAAGGCAGCAGAAGAAATAGTATAAGATTAGGCAGCCAATCATAAAATGCACATGTGTAAGTATTTATGAACTACTGCGAATATATGTATCTGTGTATATACTCGTGCGGGCACACATGACTGTTGAACAACGACGTCAGCCAAACGAAAAAGGTAAACACAAATTTACTGGTAGCTGTCAGCTAACAGACGGATAATGCACATATATATATGTATATGTAGGTATGCTCGGAGCTGGTGATAGCAGCACACAATGCAGCAGGCAAGAGAAAACGCTGAGTAGGAAAGCGCGCCAAAAAGGCTCGTGCTTTTTACCGGCTGCTTGAGAATGCCGTGAAAAGCGAACATCTGTTCGGCGCAGTGGACGATTACGAACAATAGTTCACCTATCCGTGGCAATAACAACGAACAACCCCTGAATCAGTAATAATGCATGTCAATGCATGCATCCGAGACAGCTGAAACCGAAGAAATAGTATAGCTATTCGCACAACGTCTTAAGAAATGCAAACAAAGGCGCACAAGGAGCCCCTTTTTTGACATTAAGAAAAATCAAAACGTCCTTTTTAATGGATTTTACTCGCGCACAAGAAGACTCAGCTGAAACGTCTTCGAGTTTTGGTTTCTTTTTCACTGTGATTGTGTTTGTGTTAGAGCTTCTTTATGTGAAATTCTGGCTTGCTGCTTTGTCCCTAGTTTATCTGCATTTCTCAGCGTCTACTTAGGGGTTATCTCAAAGAAATGCAATTGAGAGTTGAAATTCATAATGCTCTCCCCTTCTAAGGGTTGTTCCCGTAAGTCACAACAGACGTTATAATTTGTTTGTGTGGCCAGGCATTGGATTACCTTTTTTTAAATGCATAAGTTTCCGCACCTCCGTTTGACTCTTTTTACCGCCTTTGACTTAAACGTTAAAATGGGTGGGAATATCTTTTTGGTTGGCTTCTGCGCGACGCTCGATCAAAAGTTATAGTAGTACAGAAAGWCCGCTTACTTTTTCCATAAGGGTGAAAATGTAACGGTCGTATGAGTTTTGGTACAAGCACAACAAAAGAAACCGCTATGGCTGTGGGAAATTTGTTAATGGTCAAGCGAAATAGAAAGTTTACTTAAATAATAAGAAAATATATGTGCCATATGTCTAAGTCTAACGGAATTTGGAGGCCTTGATCGTATTTAAAGCTAAAATTTGTATCGCCAAGAGTAAGTAGTAATAACTGCTTTTTTTATGAACTTTAATGCATTTAAATGGATTCCACACCTTTTTTTTTATTTAAAAGATGCATAAGGATATGACAAAGAAAGGGCGAATTTCAAATAAAAACCCCGCCATCAATTCTCTGCACTCTTAACGCCATTTACATAGAAACGCACTTCAGTATCATCCAGCGCCTGATAATGGCCCCCACTTGCCAGCCCGAACATACATATAGCGACAGCTTGCAGCTGCAAAATGACAATTAAGAGGTGACAGGTTGACTGTAGGTAATTGTCGTAGTGCGGAAGGAAATCAATGAGTCTGCCGCTCAGCGTCAACCGAATTGCATCCTTTACCTAAAGGAACTATAATGAGTTATTTGGAATACTACTGGCATATGTGGGGTTGTGTGGGTGTAAATAGGTATATAAATCTAAAATGGTTTAATGATTACAAAGGCAATTAAATTACACCCTCAGTGCTTCTGACACGTGAATTGACACAAAGTTGCATTTGATTTCCGTGGAAATAATTAGCGGGTTCCTGCACATTTAACGCTTTATTTTGAATTAAAGAATGCCACTTCAGAATTACCCAGAGTAAAGAAAAATAATAGACACACGTAAATATCAAACAAAGGCATTAAATGATATAGTTTAGATATGTAATATAATATTCATTATAATTTATATATATTTTTAAAGCGCCAGCCATTTTTCAGAATCAATGAAGCTTAATCCTTATACCTCATCACTATAATTAATAATAACTCTTGTCATCGTGCGATTTTCGAAAATTTCTGAAGGATTTCTTTGGCTGTCCTTGATGTTTTGTTTATTATGCTAAAGTATTCTACTTCGATTTTTGGAGTTTAGTTCGAAGCTCCATTTAATTTTTTTATAAAGAGCATATCCTCTCTTATCCTCAGCTATCACACGCACGACGGCATGTGTGGGTACTTCGCCGAAGTATTACAATTACGAGAGGAGCACTTTTTTAATAAGCTCATATGCCACATTTTCTCCAGTGCCTTACAGAGCTCTTATGTACTCGCAGTGTCTGGTTATCTGATTTATCAGTCGTCCTCAACCAGCTTATTTGCGTGAGTATCATGATGACACCATTTAAAACTTTAACCTCGGGGGCGAAAAAAACACCTTTCCTAACGGTAATCCGTTTCTTACACTCCTCCCAGCTGCGCACATATACATATGTACATGTGGAGCATGCAGCAAGTGTGCGATTATAYTGAAGTAATTGGCAACACTTTTCCCATTCAGCTTTTCTGGTGTGTGTTTTTTTCGCTTTCTTTGTATTCTGCTGCATGAAAGAGTGTCAACCTATTGCAGTTAAGCCAAGTCATCATATTTTCACGCAACCTAACTCAAAAGTGCACTTAACCTCAAATTTGGAAAAAAGCATGCCTATAATAAAAAAAATACTAATAATAAGGGAAGTGTTAGTTCGGGTTCGACCGAAAATTAATTTCCGAATTTCAATTACGGGGCAAAAGACGCAGATATATAAAAAAAGTTACGTTATCCTATATGAGAGAAGGCGTAGTCATCGACTTTTCATCTATTTATCTGTGTCCACCWTTTTATTAATATCAGACATTTCGTTTCTACTTTCAAAATCTGACGGTCATCACACTTTGTTTTGGAATTACGAGATATAACCAGCAATACCTAAAGTAGAAGGTACCACTTCTATTTCCGAGTCCTTTACTATTTCGTTTTACGTATCGCATATGTAAGCCTATATGTTAATTTTTTCCTTGGGGCAGTTATAAAGAAGAACGTGTTAGAACGTGTTAGAACGTGTTAGAACGTGTAGCATCTTAAAGACGAATTCAATATAAATTCAAAGGGAAAATTTTTTGATTTACTTTTTACTTAAAAATCTTCGTATTAGCATTTTCAGGAATTTACTCCAATATTTTTTTATTTATTTATTTTTTTTCAATAACACAATATTTTTCAAAATTGTTGTGCTTCAGTATTCTAATTAGTTCTGCTGTGGGTACAACGAAATACGTCTCATATGCAATAAAACGCTGTCAGTTTATGGGTTATGATGTGAAGAATTCAGTAACGGTGGCTACTTTTATGTGCATAGCATAACATTATACATATGCACTACCGCATCTGTGGAGACAAGATTTTGTATTAGCTCGCCTGTTTGTGGTTGGCGAGTTTTTCTTTAAAAGCTATTGAGTTCCTTTTATTCCAACGAGTATCCTTGAGCACTTGCACGCCCGAGCCCACACTCTTATACATACATACATATGTATGGATGTGTRTGCTCGTAGTTGTTTCTATGTGGCGCACCGTTTCCGCTTTTAGGTTGTGTGCAAAGCGAATGGGTACTTTTAATTTGCGACTTCGAGTACCTTTTCGCCACCTAATCGCTCTCGGTCTRCAAAATCTTCATCCGTGCTCAGTTTTGACTTACTAACGCGAGTCTATTCCACATAAAATGCCGTATTTTCCGTATAATAGCAACTTTTCTGTTTGCTCACTTATAGCACCTCTTGTATTCCAACATCTTGAATAAACTAATTAGCTCTTGTGCAACATTTATAATATTTTTTATAATTAAATTACACTACCACTCACTATTTTAGTCATCATTATGTCATCATCACACACTCATAAGCAAATACAACAAACACAACTGTGTTGACTGTGAACCGTGCTACAAACACATAAGTATGTGTATATATAGGTATATATTATATACATATCTATGTACGTCAACGTCRAATTCATTTCTTTACGTTTTTGTTTATTTTATAGGAGCGCTTCTGTGTTTGCTCCCTGTGAAATTTCTTTTTAATTAAAAACAAAAATATCGCAATTACGGCTCCTTATGTGCGCCTCTACACACAGCAGCAGGTCCTTCGTCATTTTTTTCACACACTCTATCTTAATGTAATCGTGAGTGTTGTGAGCTTTTGTGTGCCTATATTTGTCTTTTTAATGGAGTGCCTACTTTGCGTTGTTGGCTTGCATTGCCACAACAATGCCGCACTTCCTCAGCTACTACGCCTATGCATTGTGCTAATGGCTTTTTTATACATACATATGTATGTATATGTGCTCTTGTCGGCAGGGAAAATTGAATAAATAGTAGATATGAGTGTATGCGCCCAAAAGTGCACTTCTTGCTTTCAAAATTGCATAAAGAACAAAAACGTATCCTTGCGCCAAAGTGGCACTGCTTATAAAAACACTTCATAATTATCACCGACACACATGCTAACATATACAATATGTTTGCCTTCTATGTATTACTATCAAGCAGCTGGGGTCTGTACTTGTCGCTTGAGAAGCTCACCTTTTATTTTCTGCTCCACTTAACAGCACAGAGTGTTCAGTTTAGTGTTAAAATATCCACTTTTCTTCATTCTTCCGATTCTTCGCGCGCTTGTTCAGCCAATAGTCTGTTGTTGTCTACTGGTTCACAGCAGCTTGAGTCACTTCTGAATGATCTGAAGTGTCTCATTGTAGTATATATGCACTACAAACTGGTGACTTCTTCGAAAGCGGGTTTTTTGATTCGCAAACTTTGTTTGCCATGTTTGCCTTGAAAGGGGTTTGTGCAAGTTAAATGATTTAAAAACAATACAATAATATTAATATTTGAACGCCTTTATAGTTTACTAGTTACAAAATAGATTTTCATATTATACCCATAAACCAAGTAACTAATTTATTATTCCAACTSGCATCTGGACGACGCAGGAGAGGCTATTCTCCCAATAGCTGCTCATTATAAGAAATTCAATTACCTAACCACGAATTTATTCTTGCTTGTGTGGTTTTTTTAATTGTGTGCACATGATCTTAGTGCATTATTAGATGATTATAATGCGACGTTATTAATAATTTGCAGCACACTTGTAGGSTCGGCCACATTGCGCACACAAAGGCTTTTTCAAAGAGCTTCAACAAAAGAATCTTAGCTTTGTTGTGACACACATACTTGCATAGCAGGCGGTTATATTGTTGCAACCGAGGTAACGCCTGACTGAGCTTAAGTGTGAGCTTGTTGCAAGAGAACAAATCTGGAATACKTGCTTTATAAGCGCATTGTTGGGCCGTTAGGTTGGTTTATTGCAAAGAATTTTTAATAATTCTCAAATGAGCATAAGTCAATCTTCTGGGGTGCACATCCACTACTTAGATGCTCGACTACGCTCCGCCCACTCCCCATTTCCCAGCAATTTGCTTTAGGATTTGCACATGCATGCCACCGTAATCATCGATGATGAGCAAAGCTGCACTGAAGTTGGCAGCAGAAATATTTGCATTTACAATTTTTTATTCTTCTTTTTATCTTTTAAGTATACAAAGTCGAAGCATTGAAATGCACCGTTGGTGGATGCTGTGTTTAGTTGAGGGAAAGGCTTTAATTAGCAAAAGCTTTACGATTGATATTCACTTGGGCTTGTGGGGAGCTATAATGAGTCTCGAAGAACACGCTGCCGTTGTTGAGAACAGCAATTCTTCTTTGCCACAGATAAACAGTGAAGAATGTTTGAGGAGGCACCTGGGATATTGCATGCAAATGCATTGCCTTCTAGCAATTAGAAAATTAAAAGATAGATAGTTACATCAGCGGCACCAAGCAACTGCAATCAAGTAATTGAAATGTTCAATTTGTGTACTCAAAGTAGTTATAGCGCAAAGCCATGGACGGAATACTGGCATTGACTAAATAAAAATAATCTATATGTTGGAATGATATGAAATGTCTTTAAGACTTTACTTACACTTTACCATATTTTAATACAGATTTGTGCAAACATTCGAAAAGAATATTRGATAATATCTTGCTAGACAATTTAGCGCTTTCTATTCGAAAGCTATAGGCTGGCTAGTTGTTCGAAAATCTGTTAAATGTGATTTTTTTATAATTTTCTCTTCCCAAAGCGCAGCACTGTTCGTCCCACAAATTTTCACCCCACGCCTTGTACGCCTTGCTCGTTGACATTTCAATTGTGTGCAATGTGTCTCCTATAATTGTCAACATTTCACAACAATTCCGAGCTGTTGGCGCTGAACGTTGCACCTTCTCACTCACGAGAGTGGTGCACCATTTTTGTATCCTTTTGTTCTGCCATTGCACTGTTGTGTTGACTCGTTTGATAATCGCGCTAATTTCAAGATTTCCCAAAGCTCTCGCTCTTCTTTCATTATGACGCCAACAACTGGTGCAAACAGCTCAAGTTATTGCAGCAGAAACGGATATGAAAACACTGCATTCGCCGCATGGAAAGGGCTCTGCATAACAACTGACAGTGCCAACTTTTCCAAACAATAAATATCAAAATCGCGCATTGGCAAGTAGCAATCGCAAGCGCTGCGCTTACTGCTCTTACTGTTCTACTACTACTAGTACTATACTTCTGACAGCTTCGATGTCAAATTAAAACCAGCCTCGCGACGATTGTTCGCTCAATTCCCCTGAGGCAAAAGTGACTAAATTGACTGTTGTTGTTATTCCGACGACTGCAACACTGTCTTCGATATTGCCAGTATAYTTATATAATATGGCTCGTGTATACATACATATGTATAATGCATATACAAGGACGATGAGCGGCCGAGCTGAAGCAGAAAAAATGTGTCTCTCAAGTCGCCACAGAAACTAGAAAGTAGGCATTCATAAACAGATTGTTAAACAGATTGTTAAGCTACGTAAATCTAAATCGGTAAAAATATATTAAATTAAAATAAGTTAATTTACTTACAAAGTACTTCTTAAGCTAAGCTACCGGCACCATTGCAAATACTTGGTATTTTTAAAAAGTGGGCGGGATCCCGCACAAATAAACAAATTTATTGGCATAAAATGTTGCTAAATCAAGCATAAGAATTGTCAAAATTGGATCATCACCTGTGCATATGGCTGACGTTTTTACCGAAGATATCGCTTAATATGGGAGATATATTAATGAAATTCGGAGAGAAGTTCTTTGAAATAATAATGTAATAGTTTATCAAAGTTATCCTCTTAGTTGCTTGAATTTGTATGTCATGTACATACATACGGATACATACTATCCGTATATACCCCAATTGAGGTTGATTTGATCTGGGAGTCTATAACCTATAGTAAAAATTAATATGATACCAAATGTGATTGTATCCCTTTCATAATTTCGT